CACAATAACTTTAAATACCCAGAGAGTGGAGCCAGACTAGAGAGTTAAGAAACCTCCCCAAGGCCACCTAGCTGGTAATTAACAGAGCTAGATTTGAGCACAGACTTGTAATAGCCCACAGTCTATGTGCTTAACCCCTCCTCTGTAGTTTCAGTTTCTGTCCCACCTGGCCTTCCAGTCCCCACAATTTGACCCCAGGTTAGACATTTCCGCTGACCTCAGCCAAAATGTGGACCAGTCCTGATCCAATCAGGCAGCAGGTGAGAGTCCCTGTGCTTGTGGCTGAGCCCTAGTTGCCTAGGGTGACTTGTATAGCATTCAGTGCCTGGGTCCCTACCCCCATCACTTACCTCCTGAGAGATGCCCTGTCATGAAAAGAGGAGTCATTGGCCTTGGACAAGGGCTGAAACCTTCAATTAGAAAACATAAGATGCTAAGAATGGGGGAATTGTCATAGCTGGGAGTGCCAGAGAGTGAGGGTACAAATATAAGGAGAGAGATGGGAGAAGGCCAAATTTGTGAAAGGTCAGAGGTGAGGTTGGGGCTTGAAGGCAGGGGTCTGGATCCAGGAAAGTTAGATAAAGTAAAACCAAGACAAGACAAAAGGGGGAACTGGGGAAGGGAAGTCTTCAGTGTCTGCTTATCAGAAAATGACATTTGTGGGCTCTGATGTTTGAGGTTGGTGGCCAAAGGTCGGTGGGCACCACCAGTTACTCTCTCAAGCCTGCTTCTCAGGGGGGGCTGGTAGGGGCTTTCCTAGGCTGGGCTGATGGGGTGCCCTGTTAGTTTGAGTGGTTCCCATGGCATCTGTTGCAACTGCACCCCTCTGGGAGGCCAGTGCAGGCCTGAGTGCTGGCCATGCTGCTGACCAGACTCTCATAACTTCTCTAGTTGCTCAGGTTGGCAGACTGAGAATGAGAGGATGATGGAGGATCTGGAAGAAGGTGAGGATTCTCACATATATTCTTAGGGAACAAGGAGGAGGTGGATAGGAGTGTGTGTTTGAGCAGGGTGACAATTTTGAACAGCTGCTATCGGGAGTCTACTAGACAACCTGCAGGCATTCTGAAAGGCAGCTGTGAAGTTTCAGCCAACGTTAGACATCTGGAGTAGTTTGTGTGTCTGGTCATGCTGCTGGTTCTGTGGCTTCCTCAGTAATGGTCAACATCATACCTAGGGATACTGGATCTCCAAGAGACCTGAGTTGCTGACTGCAGTGACTAGCACATTCATGGTGGTTAAATGCATGCATTGGTGAATGATAATGTTCAGATATAATGACAGAGAGGAAGAGATCACATGCCCAAATGTGAGGTGGCAGGCGTCTTGGAACTCAGATTTAGCAAAGAGAAAGGAAGGACCCTGTGCTTAGGAGTGGGTGGAGCATAAGTGTTCTTGTGCTCACATAAGAGGATCTGAGCATCTTCTAGCTTGAACTACATTAGCACATGTTAGAAGATGAGAACATTTGATATGCATGTGCTGGGAGGAATTAGTAAAGATTTCTTGGTGCCTGGCCTTTGACATAAGGTTTGAAGGAAGAAAAAGGACCCTTTCTTCAGGTAGAAATGAAGCGAGAAGGGGTCAGAATGGAGCATAAATGGCCCAGGAAATAAGATAAAGATTCATGGGACTTTTCAGTTCTGTTTCTCTCTAAGATGTAGACAGCTAGACTCATTTAAAATAGCAGCAAAGTCACAAAATACTGAGGTAGAACTGCAACAAAATATGTGTAAGGTTTGTATAGTGAAAACTATAGGACATTGGTGAGAGAAACCATGGAATAAACAAATAAATGAAGAGCTAACCTGTGTACTTGGATTGGAAGACTCAGTAGTGTTAAGATGTCTAGTCCATCCCTGCAGCTGAGCTATAGATCCAATGTAATCCCAAACAAAAACCCAACAGGCTCTCTTTTTTTGGTGGGAGTTGGGGGTGGAAGGGAGAAAATGACAAAGTAGTTCTAAAATTAACATGGTACAGCAAAGTAGCTGGGATAATCAAAACCATTTTGAAAAAGAATAGCACAGTTGGATTGCCATACCACTTGATTTAAAGACTTGTCATTGAACCACAGTGAGTAGTCAAGATGGTGCGATGTCTGTGAGAAGAAAGACACATAGATCAATGTAACAGAATGGACAATCAACAAACAGATCTACCTGTCAATCAATTTGCAACAAAGATGGTAAGACAATTTAAGGGAGAAAGGATAGTCTTCTCAACAAATGATGCTGGTAAATTGGATATGTGTAGACAAACAAAACAAAACAAAAAACAAAAAAAGTCCTCACAAATCATATTTTGTACCACATGCAAAATTAACTTGAAATGGATCATAGACCGAAATGTAAAACCTAAAACTATAAAACTTCTAACACAAAACATAGGAGAAAATCTTTGTGACTTTCAGGTAGGCAAACTTAATAGAACACCAAAAACACAAATTATTAACAAAAAATCAATAAATTGAACTTTATCAGCATTAAATCTTCTACCATTTGGAAGACACTGTTGAGCAAAGGATCAAACAAACTAGAGACTGGAAAAATACTTGCAAATCACATATATGAGAAAGGACTCATATTCAGAATATATCAAGAATTCTCATAACAAAATAATAATGATAATAATAAGCCATTAAAATGGACAAAAGATTTGAACTTTGTCAGAGGAGATATACAAGTGGCAAATAAACAATGAAGGATATTCAACATTATTAGGCATTAGGAAAATACAAATTAAAGCCATAATGAGATATCATCATAAGCCTATTAAAATGACTGAAAAAGAAAGCTGATAATATCAAGTCTTGACAAGGATGCAAAAATGGTGCAATCACTTTGCAAAAACAGTGCATCAGCTTCTACAAAGTTAAACATACACTTACCATGTGATCTAGCACCCCCACTGGCTAGTTCTTACCTGAGGGAAATGAAAACATATGTCCACACAAAATATAAGTACATAAATGTGTACAATTGTTTATTCATAATTGCTCAAACTGGAAACAACTCAAACGTTCATCAGGCGATGAGTGGATAAAGCGCCTGTGGTTCAGCAACACAATGGAATACTACTCAACAATAAAAAGAAGTGAATCACTGAGAAGTGTGACTTTGTGCATGTTGAATGCACCATGATATGTGAAAAAAGCCAGACTCAAAGGGTGCCTGTCATATCATTTCATGTATACAACATTCTAGAAGGGCAGGATGCTCTTGGAACAAAAGTCAGATCAGTAGCTGCCAGGGCCTGGATCAGCTAAAAGGACTGTGACAGAATGTTTCTTGGCTGATGGAAATGTTCTATATTTTGATTATGGTGGTTGATATGTAGATGTAAGAGTTTGTCAGAATTCATAGAACTGGACACCCTAATAGGGTGAATTTTTTATATTAAATTATATGCCACTAATCCCAACTTTAAAGACCATAGAAGGATCTTATGCAGTGATCTTCAGTTGGCCTCAGATCTGCATTCCCCAGGCCCCAGGTTGAGACTGGGCAGGTGGCTCTGTAAGTGAAGGATGATCTTATGTTCATCATTAACTACCCATCTCCACGCACATTCCCTGCCCATATGGTATACGCATAGTAAGCATGGATAAATAAATGAATGAAAGAAAAAGTCAGAGTGCTTGCAGGAAACCAAAGTAGGCCCTGGTGATCTGCAGGCTGCAGTGGTCTCTCCCAGCCTGTCCTGCTACTTCTGCCGGCCCAGCTCAACTTCTTGCCCCTGGGAATTGCTTTGGCTTCCCAACCCCATGTTGACTCACGTGGCCATTTCACACCTTTGTGCCTTTGCACATGCAGGTCCTTGTGCCTGGATCACCCTTCATAGGACCTGCACCTGTGGAAAAAGCACCTCTCACCCCCAGATCTCCAGGAAATGTCATGTCTGCCCTGACCAATGTGTTTCAGTTGATTAGGCATTATTCCACAAAGGGAAGGGTCACTGTTCATTTGCCAGTCAGGGCTGATGCCTAAGCTGTGGGTTTGATCCCTGGTTGGGGCTTGTGCAAGAGACAACCTACTGATGTTTCTCTTCTTCTCTTTCTCCCTCCCTCCCCCTCTCTGAAAGAGAGAGAGAGAGAGAGAGAGAAAGAGAGAGAGAGAGAGAGAGAGAGAGAGAGAGAGAGAGAGAGAGAGAGAGAGAGAGAGAGAGAGAGAGAGAGAGAGAGAGAAAGCATCAAGTCCTGTCTTGTTCCATAGGATGATGGGGAGTTGAAGGTGTGTGTGGGTGTACAATATAATGGTCGTGTGAGTATGTGCCCACAGGAGATGCCCAGCTGGGCAAAGGAGGCTAAACTTGGGCAGGAGGTTCCAGGGGGCAGAGAAAGTTCTCCCTCTCTCAGACAGCCCATTATTTCTTTCCCCTGCTCACTAGGATACAGTACTAGTTAATTTTGTTGAGTGCTTATTGTGTGTCAGGTCCTGTTCTAAAGCACTTTGCTTGTAGAAATCTGTTATCCTCCCAATAACCTTATATACTCTTCTTATTCCCATTTGACAGAGATAGGAACTGAGACACAGAGACTATGGATGTGTGACTGCACACACAGGAGGTGAGTCAGAAGGGACTTGAAGTCCCAAAGTCAGCTCTAGAGCTGTGTTTTTCACCACTGACACATTACAAGGATGCCAGCCCAGAGGGTGAGGGTTCTGGCTCCTTCCAAGAAGAGAAACTGTCCTCTGTCCCCTGTTAGGCTTGAACCAGAGAATGGCCGGCAGTGCCACTGGAGGAGGGTGTAAGCACGGTGGTGAGGGCAGTGATCCCTGTAGGCTCTGCAGCCTGCAGCCCTGACCAGCTCCAGCCCTGTGGGGTCACCCTGGGGGGTGCATGGATGAAGGGCTGGCCTCTCTGAGGTCTGAGATCCTCAGCCTCCTGCTTCAAGACTGCAGTGGCTGGCTCCTCCTCTCCTCTCCTCCCCCACCCTGCAACCCCTCCCTGAATCATAAAGCCAGACCCTGGTCCGACTGTTGCCCAATCCCCAGGATTTGGTTCAGCGCCTGACGTCCTGACCCTCTCCTTTCTGCAATTCAAGGGAAAGACAAGATCTTGCACAAGGCACCCTGAATCTGCTCTCTGCAAGGGAAGGGCGACATGGAGCCTCTCTGGCTGCTCATCCTGCTCTCTGTCCCAGGTAGGATCCCCTCGCTCTACTGCTGGTAGCTTCTTTCCTTCCCCTTCCTTGAGTATATGGCAGGTGGGTGGTTGGGTGGGGGGCACTGAGCTGAAGGAGGGTGAAGTCCTCGCACATTCTGCACCCCTCCCTTTCCACCCACCCCATATCCTTCCTGTTCTTCCCTCCCTGGGATCAGGACCCACGTCAGACTCTTTATGCATGTGCAGGTATAAAGAGCTGGTGGATTCTGGTCACATGGAAAGGGAAGGAGCTCTGGTGGTGGCATTTCAAACACTAGTGATTAGCTGAGGGAAGTTTGGAGGGTACTGGTCAGAGCCCCAAAACTTAAGCACAAGACTAGCCCCAGAGGAGTGTCAGGAAGGAGGGAAGAAGGAACCCCACTGAGAATATGTGCTTTGGGTTCCCCCTCCCATGCTCGGAAGGTCCTTAACTCTGGAGAGGAGGTGAGGGGGCCAAATATTTCTGTTGCTGAGTTGGGAGAATTGACACCCCCGCCCCCTGCATACAACTGCACCTTCTCAATGGGGGAAGGGTGCCTTTGCTTCCCCAGAGCAAGACACAAACCTGGGTGAGAGGAGACCCTCTCAATGGAGCCTTGCTCTAGCAGCTGCTCAGAGCTGGGGTGGGCTAGAGGAAGGTGGGGGTGTGGCCCACCTGGAGGCAGAGGGATGGTGGGATGGCACGAGAAGGGGCCACTGCTCACCAGGTCTCTCTGGTTCCAAACAACAGGCCACTAGCTCCGCAATCTTATTTTTCAAGTTTCTGTCACCAAACGGTAGACCATGGGGTGAATGGGGGAGGATCAGAAAAGAGGAAGTTGAGGCAGAGGGCTCTGGATGATTCCCTTGCAGCCCCTGCCCTGGAAGTAGACTGGTGCTCTAAGCCCATCTCCCCCACCCCAAAGAGGACCCCCAAAATAGCAGCCTCATGTCTCCCCCAAAATAGCTCTGAGACAAGTCCATCCAGAAAGGGGAACGAAGCCACAGAAATAGGGAAGCTGGAAGCTAAAGGTCAGGAAGAGCAGAATGCAAAGCTGGTACCAGCGTGGGCAGTGGTACCAGCGTGGGCAGCAGCAGGGGAATAAACAGGGCAGGCAAGCAGGGGCTGCCCAGCCACATGGACTAGCCCCAGGCATGAGAGGGGCATTAGCTCTTCTCTCTTGAGGTGGAGTGGGGTGAGGGGATGTCTCATTTCCATGTGATAGGGAGAAAATGTATGGAATAAACTGGAGGGAACTTTGGAACCAGTGGCTTTTGGACAAAGGGCCAGAGAGGGTCAGTTACTTCTTCAATGATGTTCAGCAAGTACAATGATGGTAGATCCAGACCCAGGACCCGGGGTTCATGGTTCCCAATTTTCCATAATCACATTACGCCTGGACTGTGCCACCTCCTTCTAACTTCTAGAAGAACCTGAGCTCCTTAAGGGCAGGATTTCTGTCTCTTTTGTTTACTGCACATGGTAGGTGTTCAATAAATATTAGGCAAATGAATGAAAGAGTGAATGAATGTCTCCTCCCCAGTGTTGTCTCCAGCCCACAACACCACGGTGTTCCAGGGCATGGCAGGCCAGTCCCTGCGGGTCTCCTGCCCCTACAACTCCTTGAAGCACTGGGGGAGACGCAAAGCCTGGTGCCGCCAGCTGGGTGAAGGGGACCAATGCCAGCGGGTGGTCAGCACCCACAGCTCATGGCTGCTGTCCTTTGTGAAGAGGCGGAATGGGAGCACGGCCATCGCAGACGACACCCTGGGTGGCACCCTTACCATTACACTGAAGAATCTTCAAGCTCACGATGCTGGCCTCTACCAGTGTCAGAGTCTCCATGGCAGTGAGGCTGACACCCTCAGGAAAGTCCTAGTGGAGGTATTGGCCGGTGAGTGGGCAGCTGGTGGCACCCTGGCCTCCCCTTGGGCTGGATCTCATGTCTTCGGTGTCTGTGTATAGGACTTCCCTCTTGCTTTTCAGCAACCCTGGGAAAACCCATACTGTAGATCTTGTCCCTGCACTGAGGGCCACAGTGGGTGGTTATGCATGTTGCTCGCTGCTCAGGGGACCACAGTGCAACCCTGCCACCTCTGTCCAGACTGTGGTTCCTGAGGCAGAACTGCATCATTTGCAGGAAGGGGATTAGCACAGGAGCCATCTGAGCTAGCTGTGGTTCTGCTTCCCAAAACAGCTTTATCCCTTTGGCATCGGGTGGGACGTGAACACCGTAGGTGGTCTTTGAGCTGTGGGAAGAGATTCATTTATTCCCTCACCCAACCACCCAATGCACCTACCAACATAAATTAAGCACTAACCAGGTACAGAGAAACAAGCCAAGAAAGGCACACTGTCTTTGTTTCTGGGCCACAGAGTCCCTGCTTCTCCTCTCTGGGCCTTAATCCCCTATCCAGGAGTGGATCAGTCCTGCTGACTCCGCAGGGCTCCTGTGAGGCACACGTAACGAGAGTTAAATGTGCCTGGGGGTGCAGGACAGCCCAGGCCCCCGAGCCTGCTGCTGAACTGCTTGGCATCTTTATTCCAGGCTTGACTGGATGAAACGGTGGGGAGGGGTATGCCCTCCCATGAGCTTTGCACAGGGGGTGCCCTCCAGGAAAGCATCTGCCTATGTCTCCAGAGAGAGATTGTGTCCTAGAGGAGAAGAAATCTGAGGTTGCTGTCCTTTTTCTGACTCTCTTTTTTCCCACCTCCTCCTCACAATATGGCCCCTTATGGAAATGTGGCTCCAGGGTAGTATTTGTCTAAGGTGGGGAGTTTAGGAGGGGCTGCCTGCCCTAGACCCCAAGCCCCACTTCCACCACCTTGCTAAGTGGAAAGAGGCATAAGGGGTGAGGACACACACATTTTCGGCTCAGCCGACTCCCTAGAGGGTGGCAGAAAAGAATCCATGGCTGGTGCAGACAGCTTGGCAGTTTGCTCAGGACTTCTGAACACATTCGTTAGTCGACCTGATCTTCCCAAAGACCCTGTGAGATGGGAGGATGGGAACCACAGTCACTGAGCTCGTAGGGGGTGTTAAGCACTTGTACAAAGATGTTCCCACTAAATTTGTAAAGGTATTATTGAGGAGATGTTCCTAATTGCCCTACTTTACAGGTGAGGAAACTGAGACTCAGAGAGGTTGACAACTTGCTCCACACAGGGCCGGAGCCCACAGGCCTCTGCCCGCTCAGAGAGAGGTTCTTCCCGCCTCAACAGGCAGCCTCAGGGGGAGGGCATGAAAGCTCAGCGACTCTGTCTCCCACAGACCCCCTTGATCACCAGGACCCTGGTGAGCTCTGGATCCCCAAGGATGCCCAGGTGGAGCACAGCATCTCCAGGTACAGTGACAGGCCTTTCCTAAATCTCTGGCAGACTGCCCTGAAGGTCCCAGGCATGTCCCAGAACTGCAAATTCCAAGACAGTTAGAGCAGGAAAGGGCCTGAACTGATCTTATCTAAACACCCTTCCAAACAGCCAGTGCATGTTGGCATGACTGTGCCAGTTGCTAAAATGTTGAAATTCTTTCATAAACAGTTTGCAGCTTCAAGATTCCTGAATGGTCAGCCTTCAGCATCTCCCCTGGCAGCCCTAGGACATCCCCACGATTCAGCAACAATGCGCATTTTAGTGCTTTTGTGCAAAACTGGGGTCCCCGGATCTGTTCCTTTGATGGGACCAGAATCCGTTCTGTATTAAACATTGTTAAACATGACCATGGGGCTCATATGTTCTCCCCTCACATGTGCACCCCCCCACTCCATTCTGTCATGTAAGGCAGAAACTGTTCAGCGAGGAAAGGTGGTATGTTTAAATGCACTCAGCAGGCAAACCCATGCCTAGAACTTAGGTTTCCTGAATACAGGCTTCCCAAGGCCCCAAAGCTCCATACCATGGATGGTGCTGGTGGGTGGGGGGTACCCTGAGCAGTGGGAAGATCCTGGTGTCTCTGTATCCTTCTCTGGGGCCACCTCGAGTCCTCCTGCATGCTCTTCTTATTTCTCTAAGGAGCCTCTCAGAAGAGGAGATCCCCTTTCCATACACTTCCATCCTTTTCCTCCTGGCCTGCATCTTTCTCATCAAACTTCTAGCAGCCAGTGCCCTCTGGGCTGCGGCCTGGCATGGGCAGAAATGGGGGACATCCCCAGCCAGGGGGCCTGACTGCGGCCATGACCCAGGCCACCAGCTCCAGACTCTGACAGGTGAGTTTAGAGAGCACAGTGCAGCCGGGGGTGGATGGGGCCGAGAGGGGAGGTGGGGCTGAGAGGGGCAGTGTGCGCACTCAGTGTGTTGCAGGGCTGAGAGACACCTGAGAGGAGAGGACCCCACGTGGGACAGCAGGCCCTGAGAGGTCTGCACACTTGCCCTTCAGCCACCAAGACTCCTGGTTCTGCTCTGGCAAATCACCACTTTGCCTGTGCTCTACTTCCCCTGGCCCCAGGTGTGTGTGTGCGCACTCGTGTGGCACATGTGCCTTGGAGGTGGAAAGACCATCTACCCACTTCTAGACATTAGACATCAAGCATTTTCACAAATAAATCTGAGACTGCATGTTTAACTGGATTGTTTTGGGGCATCAGGAAGCTCTTCTCTTTTGCTTCAGTGCCAGGAGAATAAATTTTGATGAGCAAAAAGGTCGGGCTCATTGGAACCTAGGATCTCAGATAGTATGTCCCTCCATTCTCACAGGGTCCAAAGTAGCCAGTCTTTCTGTTCTTCTCTGTCCCTTTCCTAGATCTAATTACCAAGTCCTCTTCCTCCCCTGGAATTTCTCTAGCAGCCAGTCTTCCCCCTCCCCCTCCCCCTCCCCCTCCCCCCTCCCCCTCCCCCCTCCCCTCCCCCTCCCCTCCCCCTCCCCTCCCCTCCCCCTCCCCTGTCTTATCTTCTCCTCTTCATGCCTCCTGTCCATAAATTCCCTAAGATTATGGCTGGTCTCCTTGACCTAGGCCTTCCTCCTCCCTTCCCACCCCCACACTCTAAGTCCATCCAATTCCCAGCTGATTCATCCTTCTTGGAACTTTGCTTTCATCATGTTACTTCCCTTCCAGAGGAATGACAAAACATGAGTTATAGAGGGTAACACAACAGAACTGGAAACTACTGATCAAAGTCCCTCATTGTACAGAAGGGAAACTGAGTCTCATAAGGGCAAGGATTTACCCAAAGTCCCCAGGAGAGCCTGGAAATCCAAAGTGCACTTAGCATTCAAGGTGCCCTTCCCTCTAGCTCAGTCCTGCTCATTCACTCATTTATTCATTTAACAGATCTTTTCTGTGCCAGGACAATTCTAGGCATTGGAGACACAGAGAGAACAAAACAGGCAAAGATGCCTGCCCCTGCGGAGCCACGTTCTGATGGCAGGCGGGTGGAGACAGAGAATAAATCAGTCAGCTGGCCGGACATCTTGGGAGTACAGAAGGGATGGGGGTGATGGGATTCTAAAGGGTAGTCAGAGGTAGCACCTGAGAAGCACTTGGAGGGGTATAGTAGTGAATCTCATCTCAGTCTTCAGTACACACCCCCAGCTCAGGCCAAAAGTAGAGGGGAAACTGGACCGAGACTTCCTGGGGGGTGGGCTGCGGGGCAGGGGGGGAAAAGGAGCTATTCTGCCTTGGGCCACGTGGCTGCTTGGCCTCTAACCTGGGTGTGGGCCCTGGGGTTTTGAATTCCTTGGGCAGCTCTGTGTTCTAGCCTCAAAGCCCCGCCCAGCCATGCCTCGCCCACTCCCCAGTGAGGCTGCCTCTACATCCGAGCTGGCCTTCTGACTCAGGGGCACGTGAAACTTCCTCTTTATGTCCCCAGGCAGGATAGTCATCAAGACTGAGTGGAGCATAAACTGAGTCGGGTTCCCCCTTCCTGCTGCCCACCCCCTCTGCACAATGCTGAAGACCGTGTGCCTGGTACTGGCGAGCCTTTCCTCGCCACTGGGATCCCCTGCCGTGGACGCTCTGGGGGGCACACTGGATGGATACTTTGGTTTCAAGCTTCAGCTTTGCCTCCTGCTAAGAAACTTTAAGCAAATTCCTTAACAACTCCGAGCCTCACGGTCCTCTCCTACTGAAAATAAAAATAAATATCCACCTGGCTCCAAAATAACATGGGTTGTAAACTGTAACTGAAAAATAAAATGAAAATAAAACAAAACAAGCCTACCTTCTCCAGGGAGGGAGGGAGGGAGGGGAAGGATGGGGCCAGTCTCTGGGCCAGGCCAACCCTGTCTCTAGTGTCTCGGGCACGTTTGCTGCTTAGTCACCCTGGAGCAAAGCTTGGCCAGTGCCCTGTGCTCAGAAGGCCCCGACCAGGCAGAAATGTGAAAATATTTATAAAGAATTGTCTCCTTAACAGAGAGGGTAGTGTATTGTTAAAACAAAAATATGCTAATAAATAAAAAATGCTTGGAGGATAAGAAATCTTGTAAATTAAGAGCACACACAAAAAAATAAAAATGTAAAAGACAATAATAGAAGGGGTGGAAGGAAAAGATGCCAAAAATCAGAACAAAATGGACAAAAATGATGAAAAATAAGAGAGAAAGAATATGACCATGAGATGAATACATTAGGTTCCATATCTGACTATTAGGGAGTTCTAGAAAAATGGTGGGCAGTGGGGGGCAGAGAAAGTGGAGGAGCAATTATCAAAGAAGTAATGCAGTTCCCAAAACTGAAAAATGTGGGTCCACAGTGAAAAGGTCCATCAAGCGCCCAGGGGAATAAACAAGGATAGGCCAGGTCCATCTTCAAGGGGGGACTTCCTGTGGTGAGGCTGCACCACAGGAGGACAACCTGAAAGCTTAGGTGGGGACACATGTACAGATTTTAGAATCGGAATGGCCTTGGACCACCGGTAGGACACTACCTCCCTCCTTCACAGCTGTGCATCCTCAGAGTCTGTATTTGGAAGACCCTGAAGATCACCTTTCGTCTTTCTCTAACGCCCTCCAGTTGCCTTGATCTTCCCACCTTATTCCTTAGCTGAGCCCCAGCCCTGCCTTTCTGTTCCCTGCTTTCAGGGTCAGTTTCTGAGCAATAAGCCACCCAGTGTTTGGGAGCACTCCTTGTCCCCACCCATGGAGGGCCCCACCAGCATCTGCCTCCCACTGCATGTCGCTGAGAGCCCCATGTGACTGTCTGAGGCAGATGTTTCCTGCCCCCAGGGGAATGCTGTGTCAGTGCCCAGGCGAGCCCCTGAGCTGCATCTCCCTGCCCAGCGATGGGTCCCAACCTGCTCCTTCTGCTGCTGCTCCTGGGACTCACAGGTAAGGTTCAGAAAGAGCAGTACTCTGGGCCGTGCCTACTCTGTTCCATGCCTAGAAATAATCAACATTATTGTGGTAACAATAACAAGTGTAGGGCCCAGAAGGACCTCCAGGTCCCTGCGTCCCTATGCCAGTGGGTGGGCTGGGAGGTCCCCCCAACTCCTGTCTAACACTCCCACATCCTTTCCTTCCCTAGGCCAGGGCTTGGCTGAGGAGCTGGAGGCATCTGTGGGGGGCTCCCTTCAGGTGCTCTGTTTCTATGGACTCCAGGACATCAAGGGTCAGAAGGTGTGGGGCCGGTTCTTGCCAGAGGGGTACCAGCCTTTGGTGTCTTCAGCAGTGGATCGCAGAGCACCAGAGCACAGCCGCATATTCCTCACCGACCTGGGGAGTGGCCTGCTCCAGGTGGAGATGATTGCCCTGAGGGAGGAGGATGCTGGGGATTACGGCTGTGTGGTGGAGGGGGACACTGGGCCCCAGACGGTGCACAGAGTGACTCTGAAAATCCTCCCCGCAGGTGAGATATCCTAGGCTGGCCACTGCTCCTCTGAACTGCCCTTCCCACTCCCACCTACTGCTCCTGGGTCCTGGAGTGGGGGCTCTGGGATAGAGGACTTGGGAGGAGACATCCTTTTGACAGCTCTGCAATAACAGAAACCAAACTGGTTGAGAAGTCTTAGATAAAACAACCAAATGCAGCCCCTTCCTCCCCCCTGCACAGGCTGGTCTACCCTAGGAAGGCAGAGCCTCTTCCCCACCCATGGCCTTGGCCTCCTCGTCCAACATTTCCAACATACTTGATGCTAAGTTTTTCCTTGGAAATGTTTTAAACAAAGTTTTAATTTGGGCACATCAACTTGAATTACTCTTTTATACCATCCAGTTTTTTATTCCTATAATAATGACTTTGATGACCTGAAAATTACTGAATTCTCATCTTATTTCATTTTATAAGTCTTCACTGAGCATCTAGTATGTGTCTCACCTACAGACAGGTACATGCAATGCCTGAATTACTTCAACTCATTCCGTTTTAAAAGTGGGGAAAGTGTCATTATTATTTAAGCTAATATTCTCAAGCCTGATTACTAGTACAGAAAGCACTTTAAAAAATAGATTTCATTCACACAGGCTACAGTGACCTAATGTCTAAGCATTAATTTAGACAAAACTTGAAAGTATTAAAGTTATTTTTCCCAGAAAAATAGGATGTTATTTAAAAAATGTTCTGGAGGGGAAATGGTCAGCTAGCTGCTAAAGCACAGACTGCTAGTGACTTTCTCTTAGGGATGCTGACATTTTTTCATTTTCAAGTCTTTTCTCAGGTAATTTGTGCCCAGTCCCCAAATGACAAATTAAGAAAGGCATTTTCCCCTGTCTGTTAATTAGGTGGATGGACTAAGTTGTTGTGAGAATCCCTCTTATCTGGAGTCCATGATTACTCTTTTATGTTAAAAAGTACATTCCTGTTCACCTGAATCATCTTTGTCCTCCTCCTTCCTTGACACTCCAAGGTCTGGGAACTCCAGGTCATAACTCCTGCAATTGTGACAAGGGCACTGGAAGAGGGGCAGGGAGACAGGACCTGCAATGGCAGGTGTGGGGCCCCGACAGCTGTAGATGATGCATGTTTGGTCAGGCAGGTGGAGCATAGTGTCCAGGGAGGATGTGGGGGGCAGGTAATGTAAGCTTTTAGCTTCAGGGAGGTTCATCCATGGTGGCTTAAAAGGTACCAGGAGAGGAGGACATATGCAGCAAGACTGGGGCCACAGCACCTCCATTTCTTGGTTTGGCATGGGGTGGGGAGTAGGGATGGTGACTCTCCTGAGAAGAGGGTGAGACTGCCTTCCTGGAGAGACTAGGACTGGCCACGTTCCCAAGACAGATCTTCAGGTCCAGAGAAATCAGCCCTAAGTTCCTCAGACTGAAGTTGAACACATTGTAGGGATGACAGAAACTTTGTCACCAAACTGGGCCTCAGGATCTGGGCATTCCCTCAGCAAGGGTCAGTTGGCATGTGTCACATTAGGGCTGACCCTGCAGTTCCTCAGATGCTGAGGGCAGAGCTCGGGGTGGGGCTCAGCCAGCCTGCAGGGGTCACATGGCGGCAGGTGTGTGAAGAGGCCTGGGTTTCTGTGGGAGGTGGTGGTAGAGGGGAAAGTGGACATATTCACAGTCAGGTAAAGCATAAGGAATGCCATTCCCTGGCCCCCAGTATGAGAGGCCCCTAAGGAATACCCCAACACCCTTCCCTGTGTTTCTTACTGCAAACCTCTCCTTCCTCAGCTCTACTCCCCCATTGCTCAGACCTCAACAGGCCCTTAACCCTGCCCCCAGTGGGTATGTGCTCATTAAATATTTCCTTCTGACTCAGCTCCTGGCCTGAACGAAGAAGAGGTTGACAATTTGGCTGATGACCTTTCTTCAGGCTCTGTAGCCAGTGCCAGCCCTCTGGAACCCAGGCAGGATGAGAAGAGGTACAGACAAGAACGGTGTCTGGGTGGCTGTGACAAGGGTGGTGGTGAAGATATGGCTTGTTTAGAGCCCCAGACAAAACCAAAGAGAAACTTTATGATTCCTTCCTTTCCTGGGGAACTTCTGCTCAGGCAGTTAGGCAGAGAGACAGACATCCTCTCTATCCAGTTCAGCAATAGTCCTTTCATCCCGCGTGGTCTTCAGTCAGAATACCCTGATAATGTATAATGTCTCTATTCTGCCCCGCCTGCACCTACCCTCCTCATTTCACTCCCCAAATCTCTTTCCCCCAACCATGGCTCCACAAGAAATGTACCCTGTGTAACAGCTCCAGGATTCCTGGCTAGCAGCTCCCAAGTAGGTTGAGGGCCAAGCTCACCTGTCCCTTTGTGTCCCTCAGCACCCCCCTGATCTGGGGCTCTGTGCTCCTGCTGGGCTTACTGGTGGTGGCAGTGGTGCTGTTTGCTGTGTTGGCCAGAAAGAAAGGTAGGTAGTGGTCCATTCTCCTGGCCCCGCTGGGCCTGTCAGCCAGTCTTGCAGACAAGGCCAGGAATGTAGGTCTGCCCCCTACAGAGGGGCTTTTCTGGGCATTAGCAATTAGCTTGTCTGGGCATTAGCAATGTCTACATTCTAGGTCTGCCCCCAGGTCCTAGAATTCCTCCCATGGCTGAGGGGCAGAGGGAAGGAAGAAGATTCTGTGGGGGCAGGCCTGGGGAAAGACAGGAACTGGGAAGCGTGATGGAGTGGTATGATAGACAGGGGACTGGAAAGGTGACGAGAGGTCTTCTGGAGCTAGGGTGAGCATCTGGGCAGGTTTGGACCAGAGCTGTGGGAGCAGTAAGTGGGTGGGGAGAGTCAGGGCAGGCTGGGTAACACTGCGGAGTCCCAGTGGGGAGGTTCAGTGGTGGGAGAGGGGAAGGTGAGTCCAGACTTGAAAAGAGGAGTGGGTGAGGGGATGAGGGGATGGGCTTTGAGCCAGGACAAGAAGCAGACTGTGCTGCTATCCTCTGTCTTGCCAGGGAACAGGCTTGTTTTCTGTGGCCAATCCGAGAGCAGTGGAGCTCCAGACATGGTAAGAGGCCTCTGTGGGTTCCCAGCCAATTTCCCCAGACCCTCTACCTGCCATGCTCACTGAAGGGTCCCAAGCTGAAGGGGTGGAGAAAGGACTGGGACTTAGCCGGGGTCCAAACCATCTCCCTAAATGCTATCAACTTGGTACTGATGGTTCCACCTTCCTACCTTGGTATCTACCTTCCCACCTTGGTATCTACCTTCCCAGATTTGGGAAAAAAACTTGGGGCTTAAAAATCCTCAAGGAGCCCTCTTGCCCACTGAGATATTCAGGATTTGAGAGACAGATCCAGTGTGGTCCTGGGATTCACCCCAAAGGGAGCTGGGGCTGAGGAAGGTGCTCTCCCTTTCCCTGATTTGCCTGCTTTTGTTATAGGCACCCTCCTCAATGGTCCACATCGATGATTCTGGACTGGCTGTAGATGTGCCGTCAAATGTACCATATGCGAGGCTTGACTCACCACCTTCCTTTGATGACAACACCTATACCAGCCTACCTCTTGAGCCCCCATCAAGGAAACCCCCATACCCAGCCCCATCCTCCTCATCCCCTCTGACTCCTGAGGTCCTGACCTGCTCCAATACTGTGACATATGCCACAGTCATCTTCCCTGGAGGGGACAAGAGTGGAGGGGGCTCCGGGGAGCCAGCCCAGGATCCTCCTAATAGCCAGACTCCACCCAGCTGAGCTGCTCACCACACTGTGTGCTCACAGAGACCGTCCTGGGCTTCTTTCTGTGTGTCCACCCAGCCAGTCCATGCCCTACATCCTTAGTGTGTCAGAGCAACTGGGGATGTTAGGGTCTAATCTAATGTCTTGACTTTTCTAACCTTGAAAGTGACGATTGGGTGTGATTGAGGTGTCTTGGAGAAGTCTCCCATGCTGGTTCCTCTGCCATTACACCCCTGGGCTAAATAAATGTTAAATGATGATATATGAACTCTTGATGTTTGAGGGAAAGGGAATGGCCCCAGTTTGACTATTTACACGGGCTGTGAACTGAACAGACTCCAGTCTGGATTTTGCACTGCATGACCTGCCCAGCCAGTGAAAAGAGGTTTCATTCCCTGTTCTAGACACTGCAATGCATTTTCACTCAAGGGACACCAAGAAGGTTTCTTCAAAAGTATTTTCTGCTTTTCTCATGATACCTGAAAGTATAGATTCATTTCCTTGAGTCTACAAATCTTTTCTGCTTTTGCTGTACACTTTGTAAACAAGTGACATCTTCTGTTATGACAGCATATCATGGGGAGATGGGGATAATGATTAAAGGAGACTCAGGATAGGCCTGACCAGTGTGGCTCAGTTGGTTGGGCATGATTCTGCAGAGTGAGAGGTCCCTGCTTCCATTCCAGATCAGGGCACAAACCTGGGTTGTGGGTTCAGTCCCTGATCAAGTCACGTACAAGGAGCAACTGACTGTTTCTTGCATTGATATTTCTCTCCCTCTCTTTCTTCCTCCCTTCTCCTCTTTCTAAAAATAAATAAATACAATTAAAAAACAAACAAAGCAAACAAACAAGGAAACTCAGGATAGATGGGGTGTGAGAAAGGGGGCTGAAAAGAAATAGAAATAAGGACAGAAACACAAATATGCATCAATATTATCCCTTGGCAGGACAAAGGACTTTCAAACACTGGGAGATAAAAGACCTTTGCAGACATCAGTTTTGCCAGAGCTGCCTCTCTCAACAGGGTGGCCATCTGGTAGCACTGTTCCTTTTGGCCAGAACTCTGGAGCTTGGGTAGAGCCCAGTGGAAAATGGGGGTGGGGGGGATGGGGAATACATAATAAGGGTGTGGCCATGGTTAAGTTTAAATAAAAGGTAGTTCAGGCTGGGGGTGGAAGGGCCTTTAAGATTTCTGCAAGGATTTCTTTGGAAACAATCAATTTGAAGATACTTGCCCACATTGAGATGAGTGACCAAGGTGCTCAGGAATCTAGTTGTCTCACACCCATGGACAGCTAGGCATAAAGATGTTTCCCCCATGTGGAAGGGTCCTAAGCTTGATCTAAGCGCCTCAGAAGAAGGCACAGGCAGGGGCTGTGCCCTGGGCTCCAGCTGTATAAGCCTAGAGATGCTATTTTTAGGGAGCTATGGCAGGATGTTCTGAGCTTCCCTGATAGAGTCTCGGTCTGTGACAGAACCTAAATTTGCTTCTGTCCTTTGTGGAGGCAGCAGCTGACCTCATCAACTAAGTCCTCATTTTCCCTGACTAAGATGACCCAGGAGCTGCCTTGTAGGGAGGTGAGGGGATGGGGGAAGGGGAAGAATGAGGGGGACATGCAGAAAAAGGCCTAAAAAGAACTCTTTTGGGAAAAGCTTAGCCTGGTCTAAATGTATTTTGTACTTTTCAGAACCTGACAGAAATAAAAGTATATTTAGCAGTACTAAGGAAGATAACCAATGCGCTGGGGGAGAAGAGGGAAGGAGGGAAGAGGAAGACCTCAATTCCATCATTGCTCATGGTAGGAAGTCAGTGAATACCAATTGAAGTCATAGTTATACATAACTCTTAAGGTGAAAATACTGACCTAAATTTTATTATAAGAAACACATGAAAACAAAGCAAAGAAATTTCAGGTGACATGGTGAGATGATTGCTTCACATTAGAACCCTTGGAATTCAGCTAAAGAAGTTCCTAAAGGAAAATTCACACCCTTAACAACAAGAATTAAACATATTACTCAAATAACTAGTTGATTTTAAAGGAGAAAAATGATATAACTAATACATATATAAAATATGTATAAATAAAAGAGCTAATTCTTTGAAATAAAATTAAATAAAAAAGAGATTAAGTATTAGCTACCTTACTCAAGGATGAAATAAAAATGACAAGGGGAGCTTTCCTACTAAGATCAGGAACAAGACAAGGATGCTTGCTTTCACCACTCCTATTAAACATAGTATTGGAAGTCTTAGCCACAGCAATCAAACAAGAAAAAGAAATAAAAGGCATCCAAATTGGAAAAGAGGAAGTAAAACTGTCACTGTTTGCAGATGACATGATAGTATATATAGAAAATCCTATAGACGCCACTAAAAAAACTACTTGACCTAATAAATAAATTTGGCAAAGCAGTGGGATACAAAGTCAATATTCAGAAAACAAAGGCATTTTTGTACACCAACAATGAAATATCAAAAATAGAAATCAGGAAAAAAAATCCCACTTGATATAGCAACAACACAAATAAAGTACCTAGGAATAAACCTAACCAAGGAGGTAAAAGACCTATACTCATAAAACTATACAACACTGAAGAAAGAAATCAAGAAAGACACAAACAAATGGAAGCATGTACCATGCTCATTGATTAAAAGAATTAACATCATCCAAATGGTCATACTACCCAAAGTGATTTATAGATTCAATGCAATCCCTATTAAAGTACCAATGGCATATTTCACAGATATAGAACAAATATTTCAGAAATTTATATGGAACCATAAATGACCCCAAATAGCTGCAGCAATTTTGAGAAAGAAGAACAAACTAGGAGGGATCACAATACCTGATATCAAACTGTATTACAAGATCACTGTAATCAAAACAGCCTGTTACTGGCATAAAAACAGACACATAGATCAATGGAACAGAACAGAAAGCCCAGCAATAAACTCAAGTCTCTATGATCAATTAATACTTGACAAAGGGGGAAGAAGCATAAAATGGAGTAAAAATAGCCATTTCAACAAATGGTGTTGGGAGATCTGGACAGCTACATGCAAAAAAATGAAACTCAATCACCAACTTACACCATACACAAAAATAAATTCAAGGTAGATAAAAGACTTAAATATAAATCATGACACCATAAAAATCCTAGAAGAAAACATCGGCAGGAAAATCTCAGATATTCCATGCAGCAACATCTTCACCGATATATCCCCTAAAGCAAGGGACATAAAGGAAAGAATAAACAAATGGGACCTCATCAAATTAAAAAGCTTCTGCATTGCTAAAGAAAACAGCATTCAAGTGAAAAGAAAACCAACTTTATGGGAAAACGTATTTGCCAATAGTACCTCGGACAAGGGTTTGATCTCCAAAATATATAAAGAACTCACATGACTCCACTCCAGGAAGACAAAAAAACCCAATTAAAAAATGGGCAAAAGACTTGAACAGACACTTCTTCAAGGAGGACATACAGATGGCCCAGAGACATATGAAAAGATGCTCAGCATCACTACCCATCAGAGAGATGCAAATTAAAACCACCATGAGATACCACTTCACACCGGTGAGAATGGCTGTCATAAACAAATCAACAAACAACAGGTGTTGAAGAGGATGTGGAGAAAAGGGATCCCTACTGCACTGTTGGTGGAAATGCAGACTGGTGCAGCCACTATGGAAAACAGTTTAGAATTTCCTCAGAAAACTAAAAATGGAACTGCCTTTTGACCCAGCAATTCCACTGCTGGGATTATACCCTAAGAGCCCTGAAACACCAATCCAAAAGAACCTACACACCTCAATGTTTATAGCAGCACAATTTACAATAGCCAAGTGCTGGAAGCAGCCTAAGTGCTCGTCAGTAAATGAGTGGATCAAAAAACTATGGTACATTTACACAATGGAATTATATGCAACAGAGAGAAAGAAGGAGCTCCTATCCTTTGTGACAACATGAATGGAACTGGAGAGCATTATGCTAAGTGAAATAAGCCAGGCGGTGAGGGTCAAATACCATATGATCTCACTTTTAACTGGAACGTAATCAACAAAAGAAAAAAGCGAACAAAATATAACTAGAGACACTGAAATTAAGAACAGTCTAACAACAGCCAGAGGGGAGGGGGGAGGGGACAGTGGGAGGGTTTTCAGGAACTACTATAAAGCACACATGGATAAAACCAAGGGGGAGGGTAGAAGCAAGGGAGGGAGGTGGGATTGGCTGGGGTGGTGGGGGAGTGGTGGTGGGGGAAATGCAGACAATTGTAATTGAACAACAATAAAGTAATTAAAAAGAAAAAAGCCAATCCAAAAATCTTAAAAATAAATGACAAGAGGGATATAATCTCAGGTATAAAGGCAATGAAAAAAATCATGAGTATTTTGTGCTGGTGGTGAAGTGGGAATGACTATAAAGGGGCCTAAAATAATTTTTTTGAGTGATTGAAATGTTCTCTATCATGATTATGGTGGTGGTTACATGGAAGTATACACTTGTGAAAACGCTTAGTAAAAATAGATGCATTCTACTGTATGTAAACTATATTTTGATAAAGTTGATATTAAAAATATTTGAAACATCATTGGTAAATCATTAAAATAATCTTAAGAAAAAGCTCTTTAAAGTATTATACAAAACTCAGAAGCCCTAACATAGTTCATATATACATTAAAATTGATACATTAAAATAAATTAAGAACAGACTGATACCTTTTTTCCTGTGACAAAAATCACCATGAACAAAAGAAAAAACAGAAAATGAAGGAAAATTCTGCAACTCATACAAAGGCAGAGAGTTGATTTCCCTAAACCTACAAATCAACTGAAAAACAAATAATAGAATATGGTAATAGGATATATACATATAGCTCACACAAAAGGAAAAAGAAACATAGTAAAGACATTTAACTTCATATAAGGGGAATACAAATTAGAAATACATTAAAAGTGATTTAAACAAAAATGTAAAAAATTCTCTCATCCATAAAAGCAACAAGAAAATTGGTTAAAATAGTCAGACTCAACTTTTTCAGAACTCTGGAAATTAAGCAATGGCTTGCATCAATTCAAGGTGTATTTACTCAAGAAAAATGTGTTTTCCTCCTCTTATATGATTTTAAAACACAACTTCATAAAGCACAACTGATGCAAACACCAATTATTAAGATGTAACTTTTATGGCAGTAACAATATAAAATGGAGGGAGGGAATGGGCTATATAAGAGAAAAGTTTTTGTATGTT